TTTCTCACTCAAAATGTTGGGGGAAAAGATGACAAGACAGCAGTTTAAGTTTGGAGGAAGTGAGCTGGGGATGACAGCAAACAGAGTCCCTAGAGAATGACAAGAAGCAGCCATCTACATAAAGCAGGCAGGTGGCTTCACTCCCAGCTCTCATCTCAGACGTGGCCAGGTCAAAGAAAGCACCGACAGATGCAAGTAAAACCTCAAAAATCCTGAAGGCATGTCTTTAAAGCATAGAGAGAATTTTTATTTTTTTTCTGAAAGACAGCAAGGGGGGGACTGGGAAGAACATCACAGACCCAGTGGGACAGAAGGACCCCCATGCAGCATGTGCCACAAGGCAGCAAATCCCTGGGATGGCATCAGCCTGAGCCTGCAAGACCACACAACCCCTGGAAACATCTCCTTTGTGTCAGACGGGGCTGAAAACGTGAAAGACTGAGTTATCAGCAGAAGCACCTCCTTGTCAGACTGTGCCTGTCCACGGGAAGATGTTCCCCATCTCCACCCGACGTGATGCAGATGATGGTTCCCATCGCCTCTGAGGATGACAGGGCAGCCCCGTGGGCCTCTCCATCCAGGTGGGTACGCAGCTGTGAACTCATACATCATCATTAAGGCTGCAAAGTCAAGCAGCAAGAGGAGGAATTGCCAGAATAAAGGCTGTCAGCGCAATTTTAATTCAACCTCCTGGCGGATATGCCTTCTGATGCAGTCTTTAATTACCTCATCACAGCCTACTTTTTCCTCAACAAGACTGCTGCTTCATTCAGGGCACGATGGACAGGCAGCAATTAATGAAGGGCTGGTCAATATTTTGTTCTGTCCTCTTTTTGTTCAGTGCGCTGCCCCAGGCATTATTTGCTGCATGCCATCAAATGCCTGCTCTTAGAATTATTCATCTTCTGAACTTTTCTTACACGTGTATCAGTGCAGCAATTGAAAGTTTCCCATGTAGGAAGGAATTTCTTTTCCTACACCCCTAAAGGAAAACCCAGCCCAGAAATGAGTTGCAGAATATTCTGCTGGCAAGGTGAGATTTCTCAGGGTACTGTTCCCATAACCTCAGTCAAAGCCCATCTCCCATAACCTCAGTCAGAGCTGTAAGCACCCAGTGTTTCTATAATTTGGACTCCAGTTGCCCAGAAAACCAGAAACATGCAGCTGGCAGCTCTAAGGGAAAAGAAAAGAAAAAAAAAGTTGGTTAGAAAGGCAAGAGGAACTCTGCTGACGCTGCGCTGGAGCACGGCTCTGCTGCACAGTCAATGAGCCAGGAGTGAAAGAACAGAGCGATGCTGGTGTGGGCAAAGGCTTCAGGCAGTGTGCAAGGTGACTTGCATTTGCAAATTTTTGCATTGCAAAATTTCTGTTTTCCTACTTTAGCAGCTGTACTCTGCTTTTTCTTCATCTCATACAATTTTTTTTGTCTTTTACCAGACTACAGTGGAGGACGTTTTTTTGCTTCCAAGCCAAGCAATGTTAACCTTTACCTTGGCACACGTAGAGAGGTGTGTGCAGGACAGACTCAGCAAGAGAAAGAGCTGCCTGTGCCACTGATGGCATCAAAGGGAGTCCCAGTCAGATGCTTCCCAGTGAGTGCAGAGGGAGCAGAATTTGCTGGCTACTGAGCAGCATAAAAAAAACATTATAACAAGAGGAGAGGAAGGGCATGGACTTTCATTGCCACCTGGCAGCCCCTGTTTGCATTGTGCTCTCTTGCTCTGTGACCACTTAACCCAACCTTGGGGAGATGTCTGTGCGCTGGGTGGACTTTCCTGAGACTCTCTGAAGGCTTATCACTCTAGAAAACGTTCAGCAGTTTCAGCAAGGCTCTTAATTCATTAGCTCACACATGAAAATATTCTAACCTTTCTGCCCTTCCTAGCTGAGTCATTGATGCTTTCCTATCTTGCAGCAGACACATCACCTTCAGGAAAACAGTGGCTTAGCATGCTGATAACAACGGACCTTATCTTCCTGAATTGGGCATTTGTTTAGGATCACAGGGTTTTGCAGACTGTGGGAAACCCTGTGTGGCCACCAGGCTCCTGGGGAAGCTGAGAAAAGGCTGGAGGAAACTCAGCAAGAAGGGTCCTGGGAGAAGCTGGATGGACTGTGGTGGGAGGGAGGCTGCATGGCAGGATAGCTGTGGGCAGGGTGGGGTGGAACAGACAGAAAAGATTGCCTGAGAAGTAGTTGGTGATGAAATGCCCTTTAAACATTTCGTTTTTGTGTTTGGCCCTCTACGGAGTCAGTGTAGAGTTCAGAAGTCTCCTCAGGGCTCTGAGCTACTTGGGGACTTGAGGCTTACCCAGATGTTCCCTTGGCTGCAGAGGTAGGCCGTGGCCAGCATAAACTGCCCGTGTTCTCTATGCTCCACGATGGCTGTTGTCAGACAGCCTGAGAGGACTCAACTTTATGAAAAGGTGCCTGAATCCGAGCACTAGAAATATTTCCGGCAATTTTCAGGACCATCTCTTGCTTTCTATGCCTCAGTTTCCTTCTGCGATGACACCAACATACACACTTCCCTCTTTAAGATCCTTCAGTCAGATGTGCTCTGGAAGCATTTCAGGTTGTTTTATTTCCAGGGCTATCGTTATCACACATTTTGGCTGCACTAATTCCCTCAAACAGAAATCGTTCTGCCTGTAGTAGGCTGGGACAAAGCAGCCAATTAGTTGTCCCTTACACGTTTATTAACTCTGCTCCTTTCTTTCAATGAGTATGTGGAATCTGGTAATGTTTTAATATATTTTCATAAACTGTGGGCACAACATGTCCTGTTTCAAGCTAATAACCATACCATATAATTAGTCCTGATTACACAGATATTTAGTATCATTTTCCATATCCCAATCCCTTCCTAGTGCCACTGCCCAGCCAAGACATATTTAAAGCCACAGTCATCTCCCTCCTCTTCCCCAGCAGTTTGCAAGATTTTCTTTTGGACAGGTTTGCAGTTAACATGATAGCTTCAAAGGAAATTTCATTTCATTGATGTACATTTTATATATATACAGGCTCTGATCAAATGTCAGGTGACAAAACCCAGGATACAAATAGAAGGCATTTGTCTCTTACAGGGAAAAGCCAGTATTTGAAAGCGATGAGGAAATTAACAACATGAATCTTTAAAGATCTATTCCTTAAACATCTGTTGGCTCTGGGCTGAACATTTACTGTATTTAGGATTTTACTGTGAGGTAGCACTCCCCAAACAAAAGATCCCTCACCCCATTAGATTCTGGTGGGGGAAGGAGATAAATTTGCTCTGTTCAACCTGATTATAGATGTGTATCTTTCCCTGCTGGCGTGGCTGTCTCTATAGAGATGGACATGGATATTTGATGAGATTAAAATGCTTCAGTTACCACTGTCAGTGGTTCTTTAATTTAAAATGAAGAAAGCAAACAAACATTCCTTTTGATGAGGTAACTGAATGATGCTACAGAAAAGCACTTTGCTGTCAGGTGGTAATTAGGTTCAGTAATAGTCATGGGTTTTTAGCCTTGGAGGCTGTGGCCCCTGGGAGTCTGAAAGAAATGATACATTCAATTTCCGGAGGAAAGGAAGATGCTGGATGCTTTTCTCTGCTAACCCTGCAGGTCTCTGCAGATAAGAGCATTCAGAGCTGCAGCGCTGACAATCCTCCTTGAGCCAGCCTAAACTGTTGTGTCAAGATCACGAACAGAGAAAGGGAGATGGACCCAAAGTAGGGTGTTTAAACACCTAATGCAGTCAGGCTGGCTCTGACCACATATATAAGGAACTGCCAGAATGGCTGCACCGAAAGGATTTTTAAAGGCTGCCGAAGGGTACTCCAGCAATTGCTTTATGGCCTGGGCTGATATTTGTAACATCCATCTTAGGCATCAATGGAAAACCTTCAGTAGGAAAGTATTCCTTTGTAAACAAGCAACTGCTCCCACAGCTACTTTTTTAAGGGGAAAAAAGAAGGGAAAAGAAGAAAGTGAATTTCAAGGCTCATCTGCATTCCTTGGTGGAGAGGAACAATTCAATTTGGAACTGGATTTTCCATTGTAAAGTATAAATTATATCTGGCTATGCTGTTAAGAGCTGAAATCCAAGGGAAACATTCCAATTGATCCAAATGCATTTAGCTGGAAATTTTGATACTGCAGGTGTAACTGCTCCGTTCTCAGAACAGAGACAAATTCTGAATATGGTGTTTCCCATGAAATAGGAGCTTTGGTTCTTTGCTCCTTTCTCCATGTTCTTATGAGGCTTTGTCTGTTCAAATAATGGTAGTTCTCAACAAACACTTTTAGTAGTTTTACCCCTGCTCCTTACACGAGGTAAGATGCTGAAAGGACACCATACTGAAGACCAACAGCACTGCAGGGCAGTGCATTTCAAACCCTTTCTTCACACCTTTATGCATTGCTCACTGGTAGCCTTACTTCAGGTCCAAAGAGGACTTGCTTTTGGACAAACAGCCAATAAACTGTCTGTAAAGCTGGATTAAGGACTGGTGAGGGGGAAACTTGAGGCAAAGGGTCCTGGTCACACCAGCAGAAGGAAACTGCCATCCAGCTGCCAGCACTGCAGCAGGTCCAAGGCAAGGTGAAGAGCGCTGCCTTCAGTGCAGACTTGCCAGTAATTTCCTGAAGCACTGAAAAGTTTTCACTTCCAGAATTAAAACTTTTCAAAATAAAGCAAGTCTGATTCTCCTCTCACTGTTGGGAGATAAATGAAGGGTAAGTCCATTAAAGATACTGGTGTGAGATTGGTGTGTAGCAGACAGAATTCAGGAAAGATATTGATATCTCCAAAATCCCCTGAATATTTTTTCAGGCATAAACCAGGTATCTTTCCTGATCACAAATGCTTTATTTCCGAATGGAATTTCAATAAAATAAGCACAGTTAGACTGGCACACTTATTATAAAGCCATAATGCAGCAGCACTGAAGTTTAGTCATGAAAGGTATTAAAAAGCAGCCCCACTAAAGCCAGAGAAATTGCTTTTTGACCTACCGAGTTTTAGGAGTAGGTGCTAGCGGTCTTTCCACCAAGGAGTTCAGTCTGTAGTAGTCCAAGAACGTCCTGGCCACATTCCTTCCAAGCTTCATATCTGTAAGTTTTTAATTAAGGAGCATTTCTGGAAATAATTAAAAATAATAATAATAAAAAAGCAGAGTCTAGAGGTAAATTACTGCTATTTGACGCATGAGCAAGTTTTACATTAGCCATCCCACAGTGCTCAGACCTCAGGCAAAATGACTTACATAAGCAGATAAAGCGAGGGTCATCTTGTTTGCTTCTTGTTTTCAGAGGCAGATGCTATATAAAACCACAGACAGGAGGAAGCAATCTCCCTTTCTCCCAGTGCCTGGCTGCAGATCCCTGTGGCATTCGTGAGGTAATAGACAAGACCAAGGAGCGTTCCAATTTCAGTGTTCAGGGAAAATAAATATCTAAAAATGTCTGGATACAGGCAGTATTTCTGTGCTTGTATCTAGGAAACAAGGTCAACGATGTCGTGGTATGAACCAGCCATGGACCAGGATACAAATTCAACACTGGGATTAAAGCTGTAGCCCTCCACCTTGAGCAGAGACCTCCCACACTGTCCTAGGAGAATCCACTCTACATTAGTTGTGGTGCATTCAGGACCTAAAATGGTGTTTTAGCACTGAAATGGAAGGATGCCTTGGAGAGCTGTACATTACCTTAAGGAGGTCGGCAGTAACACCGGGAGCTCTTCCCACCTCACTAGCCATGATTTCAGCTTTGTCTAACCCAAACCCAACACCACACTGATGCTACCCATAAAAACTGCTGCAGAGACCTTGCAGGCACCTGAACCTCCTGAAGACTCACTTGCCTAAAAAGAAGCTCAATAATTCATGTTTGAATTGAAAAATAATTTGCTAGCCAATATATCTATGGGGCAAACCTCCTCTGCATGTGAAACATCAGCGCTAGACCTGCCCATTACAGAGTACTGCTTATCACCTGCTTATCCTCTACAGGGTGATGAGAAACTGGAAGAAATGCAATGGATGCCATTATCCACAGCTGTATTGTGGGGGCTGAGGACTCCCTCCGTTGCTTATTTTGAACTGATGCCTACACAGACATATTTTTTTTTACCATGATGCTGCCCCAAACAGCTATTTCAGGGGTGTTGATGCAGAAGCTGAGGAGGGTACGTAACCTGGGGAATCTAAATACGCCTCTGGATCAGACACCCAGCAGTCCAAGGAAATAAACCGTTGCTGGGTTGTTTTGCATGCATGTATGCATGTTCTGTTTCATCAATAGTTATCTGCTGATGTTTCCATTAGAGGAAACTTCCAGAAGTGCAGCATCCCAGGGGCTTCCAGCAGCGCCTGTGAAGATGCTAGCTTCTAAATGAAGCTTTTATTACCCGCCCACTTACATTAGACACATCAAAACAAGTGAGCATGAGACATCAGGTTCAGGCATCACTGTGAAATCTCTTTATCATTTATTTATTTATTTGTAGGGGAGGTCGAACTGACATGACTCAGTCTCTAGTTCTACCTCTGCAACCAAAGACTATTAGCCAGCCACCAGCTCTGCTGCCACTGCAGTCAAGCCCTGATAAAGAGGTTGAGGATGACTCCTGACACCGATTTTCTCCCCAGTGATCCGGTCCCACTTCTCTAGTTTCCATTGCCATACCTGGGGATGGATATATGGATCCATCCCTTCTGTTTCAGGGTCTTCCTGGGTACATTAATTGCCATCCTAATACCATGAGTGCTGAGGGCATCTATATTCCTCTGCCCAGCGGCGCAGCACAGCCCAAACAACTGGTGTTCATGGCTGTTGTCTGCATGGACAGGGACAAGGGATTGTGTGAAATGGCACCAGCTGCTGCAGCACCCAGAGAGCAGCAGCCTGCCAGCACCAACACGTGAGAATAACTGTACACTCACAAAAGTTTAGAAAGTTGGAGACAGCTTCAAGTTTATCGGTTCCAGGAGGGCACCATCGCTTTGAAAGTGTTTTGTGATTGTTACAGGAATTTGGGGATGGCTGGGGGTAGTTTGGTTTCTGCAGCTGTGAGCTCAAAGCAGCAGCAAAGGTTAAGAGTTCAAAGTCATCTGAGAAAGCCAGAAAGAAGGGGAGAGGGCTGTCAAACATTTAAGGGATTGAGAAGACTAACATGGCTTGATCTTGTAGTTTCTTTCATTTACTCGGCACTTTAAAGACACAAAGTGGTAATTGGACTCAGTCAAGTCTCTAGGACATTTTGTCGGTGTCACTCTCAGAAGGCTCATCTGCCAGAGCTGGCCCTGCTGCCCTTTTCTCTGTCTCCCTACATCGTGTTTGTTCACATGGTGGGAAACGCCTGACCTGCTGTCCTGGGGGACGAAGCCCTGGGACGAGAGTGGGTGCAGCTCAGAAGTGGCTACGTGAGCCCCTCCACGGTGCCTTACAACTCTGCTTCAGCCCTGACCTGGAGGAACCCAGTTCTATGCCTGAAATTAGATCCTGGGGAAAGCTTTTTAATGACAAGGACAGTTAACTACTGGCATAACCTGCCTAAGCACATCTTGAAATCTCCAGAGTTAAGGTCTTCAAGAACAGGTTAAACCCATAGCAGACAAGAAGGACTTAGGTCTAACTGGCTTTGCATGAAGTTAGGGAAAGGAAGTATAGAAGGGCCCCTAATGCCCCTCCAGCCCCATTTCCTTCAGTTCTCACCGTGTCCTGCAGCCCACACAGAGCTCCTGTTTGCTAGGTTTACAAGGAAAGGCAAAGGCATGTTGCAGAGCATGGACACACCAGTAGACAGACCCTGGGGTGAAACTGCACACGCAAACTTATGCCACCACATGTGGCTACTGCAAAGCCACGACATGGGAACAACTCACAGTCAGTGCTGCCAGAGAGAGATCCAAAGCAGCATGGGATAAAAAATGTGCATGTTCTATTACTAGCCTCTCTAGCCATCCTACCCCCACTGCTCTGCCGGCCGCCTCCGCAAAGGATGAGCAGTTTCTGTCACAGAAATCAGGCACCTGATACATAAAAACAGAAACAGCAATAACAGCCTCTCCCTGTGACTGCCTAGCCTGGGCGAGAAATGGCCTGACTCACTCAGACAGTGCGGGCAGCACGCGCCTGCACAACTGACAGAGAAAAACAAATCAAAGCAATGACATTTGCATTTATTTCACATGCACAGAAGACCCAGACTCCATTTTGCTTTGCTAAATATCACAAGCACATAAGTAACTGCAGCTACAACCAGAACCCACCTTTTCTGGGTAGTTGGTCTGGTTTGCTTTTTTATCATCTTTCCTTCTGCAACCACTCATGCTGTGCTTTTGCTCACAGAAATGCTCTACGTAACCTCAACCACATTTGACAGAAGACCATTGCCCCGCCATTCCCATCACAGGAGATCCCATGAGGAATCCCATCTGGGAGAGGCACGGTGGAAACAGCTGGGTGAATCTCTCCCCCCACAGGCTGCCATGACTTCCTCTCCTCTTCCTTCCTCCTCCATCGATTTGTTGTTTCACCACGCTCTGTATTTCTACCTGGAAGTGGAAACCGGCTTCCCCATGGCTGGTTTCCTTCCTGGAAATGCTGTGAGAACAGCATTAGCTCTTTGAATGGCATCAGTGCTTTTGGGGAGATTTCGGAACAGTCTGCTCATGCACAACGCTGCCAAATTTTGCAGATGCTAGGAAGTTCAGATAAGACAGGAATCATGTGGGGCTCTCTGCTAAATCCCCCACACTTATGATCCTCACCACGTCTCACACCCTGAAGCTGCTGGCCCTGGCATGAAAACAGGACAGAGGAGGAGTGGGGATCTTGCAAGCCATTACTAGTTTTCGACTGAGAAGATTCACTGATCCTATTGTGAACAGTCTGCTTCAGCTGGAGGCTCCAGAAGTGAGCACGCAGCCTTGTTCTGTTCGTGTGTGGAGGCAATAAAAATCTCAATTTGGAAACCAGTTAGCGGTACAAGTCATTAGGGGAGGTACTAAATGTTGCTGCTTTAATAGCTCACTGATCATTTAATAATGTCGCTGCTGCAGAGCATGGTGGCACCATTCGCTCGCTTTTGTTTTGCTTTTTGAAATTCACGGTCATTCCACTTTCAAGTGAGTGGATTATCTCTCTTTTCCCCTCTCGCCAGACACTGCAAACTGCTTTAAATAATTAGAAAAAGGATGGCTCCTTCAAGTTCGCCATCTCATTTTCATAAGGTCCAGTGTCATTGCTTTGGAACAGGAAGAGAAGCTGTGGTGGTAGCGAGGATTTGACAAGGGCAGAACAGTTAGCAGCCCCCACTCATCTTTGATAAGTCCTGTGGGGTCCCTGCCAAGCAGATTGGATCTCTATTTTTGTGTCTCATCTAGAGGACAGCACCTCCATCAATTTGAAACACTGCGCTGGGTTATTAGCTTATGGAATTCGTCCAAGTTTACTCCTAAGCAGGATTTAAAATCGTGACCTTCCAATTCAGAGGCACCACTTACCAGACCCACACAAGTCTTTTGTTTCAAACAAATAGCTTTAAGTTCTATAGATAGACAGGAGGGAAGGAGAAAAAGAAAAAAAAAAAAAAAAAAAGGAAGGAAGAAAGAGGAAAGGAAAATGAGATGCAAAGAGAAAGAAAGATGAATCTTTTTAACAGCACAAATTAAAAACCAGAAGAAGCTCTTTGTCTGACAAAACTGAATTCTACAGCAAATCTCAGTCCACCACCACAACAATCCTGTTATTTATGAAAAGAGGGTTATTTTGTGTGGGAGAGTCCCAGATGACTGTGGTCAGTGAGCATACTGTCAGCTTCATACAATCTCAAGAGAAATATGGATGAGGTTTTCTCGTCTGTTTATAACAGCTTCCATCAATGGATCAAACCCCTTCCTGACATGAACAAGAGCTCTAATGGAAAATGGCATTACACGGCTTTAAACCGCAGTGCTATATTACCGTGCTATATTACACCCAGAACCAGTCCCCTATTTTAGCAGAGCTGTTCTCGCCAGTCACTTACTTGTTCTGTTTCACAGGACTGCCACTGTCCTTTGACAAGTAAGAGATGCTGCCCATGTCACGTCTAATTGTGGGGGG